AAATCCTTATGTAAAATAGATTCTCATGTAAAAAAATGATTTCATATTTCTATGCTGCTCGTATTGTGAAATCATATTGCCATAGCTAAAGTTATGTTAGCACAGAAATAACGTTTTATAAGTGTCTTTGTAACGTGTTTAATAGTGTGTTAAAATGGGACAACATCAGTAACATGACCAATTTTTTATTTATCAAGAGTTTACAAGCAGAAGAATCAGAGCTGAGATTTTCGGCAGTTAACTAAGGAGTACCAGGCACTACAAAGGGCTTATGCTTTACTCCAGGAACATACCGGCAGTATCATAGATGCAGAGCGAGAGGCCAAGGTAACTACATTGATTATATTTTTTTCTCTCCAAATAACTTTTTATTCAAACAATTTTAGAGGCTAGGTTACAATTGCTTGACATGCAGTACCAAATTACATGGTACAATAGGTAAATGGTACAAATGAATGTTTATAGTGAATACTTGTGAGCTATTATGAATCGAGGTGTTCAATAAACAACATGTAATGAAATCTTTAAGTGTATGGGTTGCGCTGGCACTTACACTGACTCACTTAGCTAGTGTGTATAAATGAAAAAGAAAGAATGGCGCCGCGCTCCTATATAGTTGTATATACAGCTTATACTATTCAAGTGTATCAATATCAATATCAATGTCAATAATTGTGAATGGTGACTATATCACTAAACGCATAGATAATTTGCATAATGAATAATCCTAAGGTGATAGTGCCTTGATGGGTGCCATGGTGTCAATCCATGTTGCACCTCAATAGTGCTGTGTGCACTCTATACTATAAGTGCAAAAAACATATACACATGTGCACGTGCTTATAATAGACAAATATAAATAAAAATACAAATAAAAGTCCTTCAAAATTATAGTGCAAGTGAATATTCTATTCCTTCTTTCCGAGTGCTAGATGGTCTCCCTATATGCTCACCTCTATATTTGCCTGAATAGATCCAGGCAAATACGCTTGTTATCCTTCCAGGATAGATGAAATGGGATGATGCCCTTGCTCTAGCCGTCCCAGAAGGTGGATATGCATATAAATGGATCCTCCTGCTATTTCCTTTGTCTCCCTGTGTGTCAATGAATACACTGACCAGCTCTCTTGGGATCTCCCAATCCCCCTCCTGGGGTTACATCCTCATTCACTCCTCCTTATGCCAGCTCATGGGGTGTTTCATCAAAAAAGGAAAAAAGCAGACCATAGTGTCTTATCCTTATGAAAAATGGATTTATTTCTGCCAGTATAAGGTATTACTCAATGGCATACAGCTCAAGTATGATCCCAGCAAGCATGAATGGTAATCAGCAAGTATGGAGAAATCACTCTGCAGCTGCCCCTGCAGTGCTGTCTGCCTGCGCTTGTGCTCGGATCTACTCGCTTCTCCAGTACAATGTCGTGACGTCAGAGCCCCTCCCCTACGCGTTGCGTCACAGGGTCACGTGACTTCATCAGGGGGAATTTGATTGGCATAAGGAGGAGTGAATGAGGAAGTAACCCCAGGAGGGGGATTGGGAGATCCCAAGAAAGCTGGTCAGTGTATTCATTGACACACAGGGAGACAAAGGAAATAGCAGGAGGATCCATTTATATGCATATCCACCTTCTGGGACGGCTAGAGCAAGGGCATCATCCCATTTCATCTATCCTGGAAGGATAACAAGCGTATTTGCCTGGATCTATTCAGGCAAATATAGAGGTGAGCATATAGGGAGACCATCTAGCACTCGGAAAGAAGGAACAGAATATTCACTTGCACTATAATTTTGAAGGACTTTTATTTGTATTTTTATTTATATTTGTCTATTATAAGCACGTGCACATGTGTATATGTTTTTGCACTTATAGTATAGAGTGCACACAGCACTATTGAGGTGCAACATGGATTGACACCATGGCACCCATCAAGGCACTATCACCTTAGGATTATTCATTATGCAAATTATCTATGCGTTTAGTGATATAGTCACCATTCACAATTATTGACATTGATATTGATATTGATACACTTGAATAGTATAAGCTGTATATACAACTATATAGGAGCGCGGCGCCATTCTTTCTTTTTCAGGTAAATGGTACAGACACAATTCACATATAGGATTCTCCAGAGGAAAATGAAAGCCATATACAAATGTAATCTTTACATCTGAACAGGTTAGTGTTGGGCCTCAGGAACTTTTCGAAGAGTCCTTGAGAAGAGAGATGTACAACAGAGTACACTCTATTAACAATATCATTAACAGGGGAGGAGGAAGGGACGGTGAAGTTAACACAAATGCAACCAGGGAAAGCCAGACACATTTAGGTCCAGACAGTAAATGTTCTAGGGATTTCTCCATCTATAACAATAAAAAAGAAGAAAAACAAGTGCACAATAAAGAGTTGGACTAGATATTAACTGAGGAAAGCTTGAAAGTATGCAGAGTCACTGTATGCTCACCAGCAAGTCCAGTTAATGTAGAGTTTTTTCAGGATATATACTTTGTGCTACCAGAATTTCCTATTTCCCTGATGTCATTAAGAACCTGGGTCCATTCCAAGAGCAAGGGGGAAGAGGTACTCTTCCAGTGTCTAGAAAGGACAATTCTGGCTGCCAATAGGCAGTGTCGCAAGATACCTTTTTTTTTTTTGGATATGAGTCCAGGGATCATTAACAAAGGAGAGATTTCAGTAGTTTGGACATCTGAAATACACATAGATTTACAGTATATACAATAAAAACCTACTACCAGAACCAAAAAGCAAACGGCATTTCCAACATTTGTTGAGGAAGATGCCCACTTTCTCCGAACACAACCAACAAATATTTTGCGATAGATGGATATATGCAGTGCAAAACTTATGGGGTCCTTTGCCATAAATATTCAAAAATATAAATATACGGGGTAACCTTTTAGTGAGCTCAAAGATCGCACCTAATATTGGTGTGGGCATAAACCAAAAAATAATAATATATAGCAAAATGAGTAGTAGTTGCCATAAGCAGACTACCAGAGTAGCCCACTATCCACGGATATTATTCTTTTTTCCTTACAAGGGATTAATAAAAATATGTGATTTTACACATGAGCTACATTGCTTGGGTGTTTATTACCTACTCTGATAGTCTGCTTATGGCAACTACTACTCCTTTTGCTATATCCTTTACCATAAAGACTGTGACAGACCGCATGGTACCCTACCTGGGTGCTTCCGTCAGAGAACTGCTTCATTACCGCTGGTACACAGGAACAAGGTACTATACCTGGGCATTGCACCCATGAACTAGACGGCACTAGCTTAGGTGCAAACTGGAACACTCTTTACTGTCAACTCACACATAATTTATACCACACAGAATCTGGTAAGAGATTGATGACATTATGCTAAACAGTGCAAACTGTAAACCGTAATATCATCAGTACATCTAATGAACAGCTAACATCTAGAAGTGAACTAATTAAAGAGTAATCTAATTAGCAGTTAACAGTGATCTACTAAACAGTAAGCCAATCAACAGCCAGGCACCGAGGCCAGCCAGCAGCGCACCCCAGACAGACCAGCAACAAGCCCACAACCCTAGATATACAAAGTGCATTACACATGCTGTCTTTCAGCTGTTTGCCTTTCACTTGTATAAATCTGTTCATTAGAAAAGTCATCATAAGACAAAACTCATACAATGTTCCAGCAGTCTTAAAAAGTGGAATTAATTTATCTTTATAGATTTCTTCAGGGAGAATGTTGATAAATATTTCTGTCCCAAGTGGAGGAGTCTGCAAGAGGGCCACCATATTGCTTTGGGCCATTAATTTGTACAAGATTAATATTACACCTTTACATCCACTCCAGAAGGAAAGCTTATTGGGCTTTATTCAGAGAATTAATCCAAGCCTCGCTCTCACATTATTATCCATCCGATCTGCTTCCTCCATGTGATTAGTGGCTGAACTGAGCTTTTTTTCCATGCTCTGACTAAGGAGAAGCAGACACAACCCCTGGTCTCCTCCATAGGCTGTAATCAGTGGGTAGAAGGCTAGCCCATAGTCCCCTCCAAATGCCCTTGTACCGGTTGGGTCTGTCACTGTTACATTATCTTATAGCTATTTTTCTTGATGAAAGGAACACACGAAAAGGTTATGAGCAAAGAGAAAATACTTCTTCCAATTGTCCTTTAAAAATGAAGAGCCTAGGTAGGTCTCCCACTTGGAAACAAAGGAAGGAACCATGGTCCCTCTTTGATTATATTGTTTTTGTTGTTTTTTTAAATAACCTTGTGGGGTTTTTAAATATGATAAGAATCGGGAAGCATTGTAGAAGTCATTGGTGCTGATTTATCAACATGCAATATCACTTAAAACCACTTGCCTACCAGGCACTTATACCCCCTTCCTTACCAGGCCAATTTTCAGCTTTCAGCGCTGCCGCACTTTGATTGACAATTGCGCGGTCATGCAACATTGTACCCATATGAAATTTTGATCATTTTTTTTCTCACAAATAGAGCTTTCTTTTGGTGGTATTTAATCGCCACTGAGCGCTTTACTTTTTGCGCTATAAATTAAAAAAAGTGCAAAAAATTTGAAAAAAAAAAAAAAGTTTATTTGTTTCTTTTATAAAATTTTTCAAACAGGTATTTTTTCTCCTTCACTGATTTGCGTTGATGAGGCGGCACACTGATGGGCACTGATAGGCAGCACTGATGGGCACTGATAGGCAGCACTAAAGGGCACTGATAGGCAGTACTAATGAGGTGGCACGGATAGGCGGCACTGATAGACAGCACTAATTAGGGGTCCCGGATAGGCGGCACTGATATGCAGCACTGATAGGCGGCACTGATAGGTGACACTGATGATGGGTACTGATAGACGGCACTGACTGGCATCACTTCTGGGCACTGACTGGCAGCACTGACTGGCACAACCCCTGGGCACTGACTGGTGGCACTGACTGGCAGCACTGCTGGGCTGCACTGGTGGGTGGCACTGGTGGGCAGCACTGGTGGGTGGGCACAGGTGGGTGGCACTGGTGGGCACAGGTGGGTGGCACTGGTGGGCACAGGTGGGGTGGCACTGGTGGGCACAGGTGGGTGGGCACAGGTGGTGGCACTGCTGGGCACATGTAGGTGGCACTTCTGGGCACAGGTAGGTGGCACTGCAGAGTGGCACAGGTGGGTGCACTGCTGGGCACAGGTGGGGGCACTGCTGGGCACAGGTGGGGGCACTGCTGGGAACGGGTGGGCGGGGCTAGTGGGCGCACTGCTGGGCGGAACTTGCGGTGTGTCACTGCTGGGCACCGATCATCAGGGCACTGATCATCAGTGCCCTGATGATCGGTGCCGATCCCCGCTCTGACAACTGCCGGTTCTCGGCAGTACTTTCCTCACGATCTGACAGCGTGAGGAAAGTGCAGCCGAAACCGGCACTTGCATTTCCCTGTGATCAGCGTGTCATTGGACACCGCTGATCACCTGGTAAAAGGCCGGCGGGATCGGCCTTTCACCACATCACGTGATCAGCTGTGTCCGTAGGACACAGCGATCACGGAGATCGCCGGGTGCGCGCCCCCTGGGGCGCGCAGGAGAGCGCGTTCTGGGAGGACGTCATATGACGTCCACTCAGAACTGGCAGGCCGCGGTGAAAGCCGTCATTCGGCTATGCGCGGTCGGCAAGAGGTTAAAGCCTGAAAATTGTCTTCAGTTATGCTCTATTTTTTATTAAGCTGTTTGTTAATATTACTTGACTTTTTGAATAAGCAAGAAATGATTGGCTATGGAGAAGCATTTGAAATATATTTCCATATACTGCCTTTTGTAATGCACTTTTCATACCATCAACACATTAAATGAAATATAAACACAGTGTGATGCAGTTAAACGCATTCAAGCATTATATGAACACATCAAAGGACACAGCGAAACTCATTCTAAATGCCAATATATTTACTATGTTTTTTTCGCTGCTGCATGATTATTGCATTATAAGAACTGTTATTTACATATCCTAGCACAATACTTCAACACAGATGTGTTAGATGCAGGAGAGCCTCCACTGCCTGTAATGTTTCAGCAACACATTTCTCATAAAGGTTATATATGCAGAAAATATAATTTATGTGTTATTTACCTGTAAAAGCCTCCCTTGTGCAGACATACAAAAGCCCTGAGACTGAGGCTGGGTACTGCCATCTTGGATATGTTGTGTGCAGCTCCAGCAGACTTAAAAAGGAACTTCACCCTTATCATAAAAATAACAACACAAATGTTTTGGTAATGGAAATATGTAAACGGATACTTATAGCTTATTGCAGGCTTTTCCTCATCATCTCATGGTAGCCATTTTCACTATGAATCCATCTCCTTTACTTCCTGGAACTTTGGGTCTGCTTTCTGGCACATATGACAGAAATTTCCCAGGATGCATCTATGAGATAACAAACGCCAATTCTCCTGCGCTTGACAGTGGGCCCAAAGATGCCAGTTGGTTACATTCACACCCTGGCTTTTTTTGCATTGCTCTTGCCTTGCTGCCCTCATAAGACTGAAGAAGTCTGGGAACACTGTAACCATAAAGCAAAAGCAAAAGGTCCGCTTTAAAGCTGTCAGCCCACTCAAGTGACACTCTGTGTGACAGAGGGAGGCTCTGTTATGGGTAGAATATAGGAACATGTGACACAGGATTCACATTTAGGGTTAATGCGAAGTTCCAGATTGTTGTATCTGAGCAGAGTTGTGTTTTTTGGCTTTCTCTGGATTTTGTGATTCTGGATCGAAATTTCAATCGTGTTTGAATTTTGCCAGATGCCTGCAACCTGTCTGAGCGGCACAGGTGTGCAGGATCGGTATACTGTATATACAGGTCTGGGGAAAGCTCAGGACTGTGTCTAGTTTGGAGACTGCTCCCAGTATGGGGAGACGGAAGGTCTCACCCCGCAGTCAGGATGCCCCAGCCAGAAGCCAAGAGATAGAGGGTCTCAACCATTGGGATCAGAGTTGCCCCAGCCAGAAGCCAAGAGATAGTGGGTTTCATTGAGGAGTAAGAGGTGCCCCAACCAGAAGATACCAGGAGCCAGCAGGTCCCAGCTCCAGGACTCAGGTTGGCTCCTTTCGGGATGTCAAGAGAACCCAATCAATGGGCCAGATGTGTGACCGTGCAGCAGGGTGCTGCAGCTAAAGGCTAGAGAGCCAAGCATCCAGGAGAACCGAATTATACAGTCAGAGAAACTGGTAAGAGAAGCAGCAGTGCTGCCAACAATTGAGCCAGGTGGCTCAGTATTTTTCATTTGTATATAATGTGTGGAAGAAACCCCTGCATGGGCAACTGATCTACATATGAACTTTCCGTTTGTTTAAATAAAAGTGGCTTACAATGCGCTAAAAATACAGTTTTGGACTGGCGCAACTCATTGTAAACACACCTACAGCTTGAGTTTAATCACCCCAATCTCACACATCCATAATAGAACTTGGCCACCACAGAGAGTAATTAGACACTCCTAGAAGAGACAAGGATAGAGGTGGTTGTCCTAGGAAATTGACTCTCCTGGAGTAGTCAAATTCCCTTTTAAGTTCAAAGGCAAATAAATAAAAAAAAAATTTATTTTGGACAAGAACGAAGTAATTCATGTACAATACTTAATTTTCTTGTTCGTTTGCGTGCAGTTTTTTTTAGGTTGATGGACAAAGTCTTTTTAAGGGTGAACACTAATAAGGGAAGTCAATCTGTGATGGGAAGAGCCCAAGAATCCCAGATGTGAGCAAATAACATGTTCCAATGTGTAGACTTCCCAGTAATGCAATTTCTTTATATCTGTGGGGGGGAGATTCAGCCTGCAGAGAGCAGCATTTTTATTAGATAGAGATGAATGAGATGAATGATGCATTATAATTAAACGTTTTTTTTTTTTACAATATTTTACAGATACAGGAACAGATGCAGACAGAGGCTTTGCGTTACAAAGCCAAAATTGAAGACTTAGAAAAGGCTTTGGCGGAGAAGGGGGCAGGTTAGTATGATAAGTCGAGTTAACATTTTTTCCTATGTAAATTCCCTAATACAATATATTATTTACTCTTAAGTGTTTATTCATCAGCACTGATAAAATCCTATCTTCTTTTTCCTGTTTTTCATTATATCTAGTGGGGATGTGGTTTGTTGGATTGGTCAAACTGGACTTATGTTCTTCTTTTTTTACTGTTTTGTTTCTCATGTTTAATATGACAATATCATAATTTTGGTGTTTACAGGATTCGCATTGGGTGGAAGAAAAACAACTTTTCATGAAACGAAACCAGGAGCTAATAGAAAAGGTACAGTTAAAGTTGATGGTGACAGTCTGTGCTCTATTGCTTCTCAGGTCAAATCTCAAATAAATGCTTTGAAAAAAAAATCAGCACCATGCCTTGTAATATTATTTTTTAGGCTATATTTTTCTCTTGATCCCTGTAATTACGCATTTATATCTGCAGCATGGTCTGCCACTGTACCACTGTGCAGCAATTTTGGATAGAAGTGACATAAGAGGTCTATGTTATAACACATTTAAGTGAGATAATTGGGCTGATTTACTAAAGGAGTTGATAATCTTTAAAAAAATAAATTGTGTGAATATTTACTTCAATGATCTAGTCGCTTGCAGATTAAATGAGTAAATATGAATGTGCTTTCCACATCTTTTCACATGATTGGATAATTAAAGGGAATATTATTGTTTGAACATTCTCAACTCTTTTAGTAAGTCAGCCTAAATAACTCCAGCTAATTTGCCAGCTCTAAGATATATGAACATATGAACACTTGCTTACAGGAGGTAGATGTATGTGAAAGAGAGCAGAGTCATCCGCAATGGAGAGAAGTGCCTATAAATCAAACAACAATGTCAGTTAGTTTTTCTTTTTATTTATGATACAGTACTTTAGTAACTACAAGGGTATAGTGAGCCATTTGACAATAGCCCCTTAGCTTAAGGCTATTGTAACAAATGCTCACTGTGTGCCACCATTTAATTGCCACTGTGTACAGGACCTAATGATTTAAAAATAGAATAACTAAATTAATTTAGAGTCAACAGAAATTAGCAGACCAACTCATGTTGTGTTTTTTTAAAGGCATCATGTAGTATTATGTTAAAAAATTAAAAATATATATTTTCTTTTTTTGTGTAAACATGAATTACTATAGTTCATATTCAGCATTTGTGGCAAATTCTATACAAGCTCCATACTAATCTTTAAAGGCTGTTGAACTAAAAATTAGACCTAAAAGAGGTGGAGCTTGCCATTCTTACTTTTTAATAGTAGAGGATGTCTTGTAAATATAGGGTTGTCTTAATAAATTGGTTATACTTGAACTACAAATAAATAACATTCAGATAGTGCTGGCTTTTATTATTACAAAGCCCCAGCATCCATTGCAAATTATTATTGAGGTGATCTAAGTACAAAAGCTCCCCTTTGGGGGTCCTCTAACATGAAAGTGAGCTTTTAATTCTCCACCCTTCAATGGTCACTCTTTGTGCACACAAGAACAACCAAGAAATTTCAACATGAAGTTTTGAAAGTAAGAATAACATTAATAATTGCTTTGGGGATAAAAAAGTCTTAGAAGAACCTATAGAACACTTTCAGTTGTTGGCAAAAAAATGTTCATGCTTCCTCTTCGCCCTAGTGCAGGAGTCTCCAAACTTTCCAAATAAAGGGTCAGTTTACTGTCCTTCAGACGTTAGGGGGGCTGACCGTGGGCAGTGGGAGTAGGAAATGTCCTCAGTGGAGGTAAACATTTTTGTCCCATCTTTGGTATTAGGGGAATTATTAGTGTCCCATGGTTGGTGTCAGTAGGAGGAATAGTGCCCCATCATTGGTGTTAGTGGGAGGAATAATGCCCCATCATTGGTGTCAGTGGGAGGAATAGTGCCCCATCGTTAGAATCAGTGAAAGGAATATTGCCCCATCATTTGTGTCAGTGGGAGGAATAGTGTCCCCTCATTGGTATCAGTGGGAGGAATAGTGCCCCATTGTTGGTGTCAGTGGGAGGAATATTGTCCCATTGTTGATGTAAGTGCAGGAATTATTGCTCCATCTTTGAAAGGAATAGTGCCCCAATAGCCAGATAAATGCAAGCAAAAGGTCACATTCGGTCTCTGAGCCGCAGTTTGGAGATCACTGCCCTAGTAAAACCTGCTAACCACTAGAGGGAGCTTGCTGATCATGCAGTCAATGGTCATTTTACGGTGAAAAATTATCATGATTAGATGTGGATCTCAAAGGACAGAGGTAAAACATCTATGAGTGAGAGTCAGAGAAGGGGATCCCACA